CTTTTGAGGCTTACGCCTTGAGGCCCGCCTCAAGGCAAGGCTCTAACTTTTAGCCTCAAGTCTTACGCCTTCTTTGGACTATAAGAGGCTTACGCCTCGCATAGAAGAGGCTTACGCCTCTTTGAAAACGCACTGAGGCTTAAAGTATACGCCTCGTGTAATGATTACAAGAATACTATTAATTTTTCCAATTCTTAAAAAATATCAAGGTTTTTTTTTGTATGGAATCCTAAGCAGGAGTTGTAACAATTCAATCTATTACTACTTTTACTACCTAGACTTTAAAAATAAAAAATATTGAAGACAATAATTTATAGAATAAGTAAGTTCTATTGGTGATAATAGTAGTGAAGTTATGATGTTTTTTTAGAATTTTTTAGTAGTGATGTTATGATGTTTTTTTAGAWTTTTTTTTTCAGTSACGAGTAACAGGTGRATATTTTGATAATTTTATATAACTATTATGTTTGGTAATACTTGACCACACAAATTTAGGATTTGTTTAATTCTTTTAATTAAAATTGAGGCTTACGCCTCATACCGCCTCGAGGCCGCCTTTAGCCTTTTAAAACATTGCTCGGGACAACCACTTGACCTTACTACATTTAGTTGTGATGGTAACTCATAGAATATTTAATCATATGTAGATGACCACCATGGTTTGAATTCATTCCCTTTAAGCTTTTTACTATTTCCATCGACCCTTATTAACCACTAAACCAACCCATGAAGATTAATTCACCAATCATTTGTATATTCAAACAATGGGACATGGTCATGAAGGCACATGACATAACTCATAAATGTCGGAAATAACTCTGAAGAAATAAGCAATATATACAAAATTTGCACATACAGTTACCTTCGGTTCGTTGGCATCAGATTCTTCTTCTCGCTGATATTTTTCATATGCCTCGGCATCGTCCACAAACAAGCTTGCATTTGCAAGAAACAACTCCCGACCACTGAAATAAAAAAGGAAACTTATATTACTATTAATTTCTTTTACAAGTAATATTAACTATATGAGTAAATGAAGAAACCTCATGCGGTCATTCTTAGCTCTCTCCGCTTGCTGTGCAGCCAAACCAGCATCTCTTTCATCCATCTTTTTCTTCTTCCATTGGAAGAAAAGCTCTGGAGTCATGGGAGTGGTGGTTTTCACCTTTGCGCGCTGTGATAAGCAAAAAAGCGTAGTAAGAAAAGGTAAATAGGTGTAGCATGGAATCGAAAGGGAAAAAAAAGACAATGGGGCTGTAAATTTTTTTAAGCATTTTTTTAATTTGGCTAAGATATCAAAAGGAAAATTAAAACCGTAATCAATTAAATTGAGTCATCATCACCTCATTCTCAATCTCTTCCTCTATGGCAAGCTTTTGACTCTCCTCTTCAAGCAGTGCCTTCATTTGAGACTTTAAAACATATCCTGGAGGAAGGGCATGTCTATACTGGCAATCTTTACCACCATTAGGACACACCCAGAACCAGCCATACTGCTTCTTTTCTACTGCTTCAAGAAAGAACTTGCAGACCTGTAAATTAATCATTTTAAACGGATCGTTAAAATAAAATGATAAATATTATCTCAACTTTGGACTACTATAGCAAGAAGTATACAGTTTTCCATAAAGCTACAATGATTAAAGAAAAAATGCATGCCAGTCCAAGAGGAACAACGTGAATCAGTTACTGCAGTGTGGAATATAATCCATGAGTTGAAAACAGAAGTTCACAAGTAATAGTTCTAAAATTAAGTATTACCAATTATGAGCCTTTTTCTATTCACCAGCAAGCTTCACTTCTACAGTAACAAGCACATCAAGGTCAGTTCCTTCCGGACCAATCCCTTAGACCTTCAAATTGTAAGTTGATGAAAAATCCCAGGCCATGCATACATTAAACAGGCACACACCCAATACTAAAAAATCCCCTTAACATTTAATTCGCGAGAGATTAGATACTATAACCTTGCCCAAAAATGTAACCGCAAAGAAATGTATTAGGTTCTATTACATCTGCCAGAGACTTTCTTTCAATGCATGATAATCTGGCTGAATCCAAGGGCCCTACATAGACCAGTTTTTTCCAATCTACAACCATCTTCATCTTCTTTTGGGTTTTTGTTTTCCTTTTGTTGTTGTTGTTGTTGTTTGGGAGGGGTGGAGGGGGGTGTGGTGTTAATGTGACACTCGGCTCAAGGCAAACCAAAATGAAAAGGCATTGATTAAGAACATAATGATATAAACAAAATACACAAGTGAACTCCAATGTTTTTTAAGAATACAACAAATTGATAAACTTTAATACAATCTCATGAAGGCATAAGTCTTCTATAAGAGGTCTAAGCCTCTTGTAATCCAAATGAGTAAGATTCAAGATTGTCTCATCCTAGGGAAAGCCTCAAGGCAGAAGTCTTTTAAAACAACATTAACTAGTAGAAGGGATGATAGATAAAAAAATTGCATACTTGAGTTAATATGACAGAACTAACAAGCTTGGATATTGCAATTTAATGTAAGAAAGCTATGAAGGGGGCATGAAAAACATACAATCTCAGTTGGTTTGTTGAGATTATACTCGTTCTTTTTTGACTCGACGACCTTCTCCAACGTCTCTTGATCCCAATCTTCCATTGTTTCTAATAAAAACATTACCCAAGAAGAATTTTAATTAAAGAGTAATGCAACGAAGCTATGAAATGAAAACATATGCAATTTATAGAAAACAAAAATATCAACCACAAACCTTCATCACGCTTGTCACTATATATATCAATCTTTTCACCCTTCCTCTGGACATTCAAATCATGAGAAAACTTGCATTTAAAACCTTTCGTACACTGTCCCACTTTAAAAAACTCACAAACTATAGACTTGGGATCAACACCTAACCGAATAACAAAATCCAATATCACATCAGTTCAACGTGAAAGCTCCGAAGCAAACAACAAATTTCAGCTAAAACTAAAGAAGAAGAGGAAATAAGCGCACATACCAACGGGTACTTTTGGCTGACTAACAGCAATCTTAAACAGGTCATTCAACTCCTTCTCTTTAGCCTTCTCTTCTTCCTTCTTTTTCTGCACATAACCAAAATAAAACAGTCGGCTTCTTCTCGTATCGAAAAAAAAAATGGTAGGGAATCAAAACAATTCAAATTCATTGGTTAACCAATAAATTCAACTTCGTTGAAAGTGAAGCAGAGAAATGGACCTTGGCTGCTACTTTAGTCGGGTCGACTTTTGGCTGGACAGATTGCTTGAGATTCTGGACATATTTCTGGACGTTTTTGCTCTTATTCTTGTTCTTGAGTCCGAACGTCTTGTCTTCAACGACCTTCTGCTTCTTCGCTATATCGGCCTTCGATTGCTGCTTCGGCGGCATGTTTGCTTCGCATTCAAAGCCGATCAACAGGCAAAGATACAGCCGAATCCGAAGCTATATAACAGATATATATAGAAGAAGCAGAAATTTCGTTAAATTACAGACGATATACGATTATTAGGGTTTGTCCGGGCAGATTTATCAAAGCCTTTCTGCAAACTCGAAGAAGAGGGGATGGATGGGGAAGACAAGATTTCGCTCTGTTATGTTTAAATGACGATCTTGTCCTCCACTCATTGGTGGTTTTTTAGTTTATTATTGGACCGACCCGAAAGAAGGCCCAATAATAGTGGGCCCTTAAAGCTGGCAATCTTGTCTTGATCTTCGTGTTTCTTTGTGGAATTATGGGCCTCTGTATTGGGCTCGGGGATTTTTTAAATTGGGCCAGGTCAGTTTTTGAGTTCGAGGCCCAAAATGGTAGTGCAATTCAAATAGTGGGTTTAATTAATTTAATATAAAATCAAATTATAAATTTCGAGAATATGAATTTTTTTTTTTAAATTCGACATCAAGTGGTGCTAAGATGAGCACAGCTTAGTAGTAAGATRAGCAAAGCTTAGCGATACTTGGCATATACTCCTTCCTTTGAGGTCTGGAGGTTTGATCCTGCATATCTCCAAATTGTTGTATAAATGATGTTTATTTAGTATTATAATTTAAAAATTTTAGAATAAGTCCCTTAATTTTAGATGTCATATCTATTTTGGTCCATATACTTTAAAAAAAATGGATAATGGATTATTGATGTTTTAATTTTGTTTCTATAATATATATATATATATATATATATTATTAGTATAACTTGTAGGGGTGGGCATCAAACTCACAACATCTTAATTAGATATATATGTCAACTACTGTTATGCTATGCTCGCTTTGACAATTTTGTTTCTAATATATTGGTATCATTAACTTCTTTATTTAAATTTGTGTCACCAAATACCTAAACATTGCAATTATTCTCTTGAATAATCCTTATGTACTCGTCAAAACGAGCATAACTCTGATAATTGACATATATCTCTAACCAAGAGGTTGTGAGTTCGATACCTCATCCCCACGTGTTGTACTAAAAAAATCATAYCATATATATGGATGAATATCAAACTTCCCACATTAGAATGAGCAAGATATTCCTTTTTTTTAAGTAATAAAGGAGCAAGACGTCTCTTATGTTTGCTAATTATATACATTTTTTTTTTAAGTTTATGGATATACTAGAAAACTCGATAAACATTAGAAAAAGTATATATATATTCCACTACTAATAGACTCAAGCATCAAGTTACATTTGTTTTCTTAGGACTGAAAATCAAGAAACGATAATGGAAAATTTTACGTGAATAATGCTACTTACTTTTTAGCATAATAAGGGWGGTGGATAATTCGAATTCATGACGTTTTAATTAAAGATAAATGTCATTGAGATAAGTTTAGATYKGTCACGTGAACAATGTTATTGGTATCGATTCTAATGTCAAATAAATAATATTTTCAATCCGATTAATTCCATCCCGACTATTTTTCATTACGATTAACGAACGAACAAACATGTTCTTTAAGATTGCAATAAAAAAAATGTCGTAAATATATTTTAAGAAACCTTTAGGAGGAATTTCCATTTCTCTCCCGGCCATGGTCTTCAAAGTTCAAACCGATCAGTGATAAGATAAGCCCCAACTGAACTCGAACTGTGTCCTCTCTTCTTCCCCCGCGAGCTCTGAAATTCTGCCATGGAAGCCTCTCTTCTAAGCTTTCCCACCTCCAAACCCCCACCATCTTCTCAATTTCTAACCCTAAATCGACMCACAAATCCTCTATCCTTCTCTCCCTTCCGCCATTCCCCGCACCAGGGCCGCCATCACCACTGCCTCAAGATCAGCGCCGCCATTTCCCGCTCCAAGAAGGAGGAAACCATCGATACAGTCAAGCAACAGCTCGAGAACTGCTATCTATTGGCCGGAATCAAGTACAAGGGCTTCACCGTCCAGCAATTTCAAGAACTCCGTCGATCTCTCCCCGAAACCTCCAAACTCATCGTCGCCAAAAACACGCTCGTTCTCAAGGCGATTGAGGGGACCTCTTGGGAAGCCCTAAAGCCCTGTATGAAGGGCATGAACGTCTGGCTATTTGTCCACTCCGAGGAGATTCCGGCCGCCATCAAGCCCTACAGGGATTTCCAGAAGGAGAAGAAGCTCGAGGATAATGATTTCACCGGCGCGGTTTTCGAGGGGAAGTATTACGGGCCGGATGATTTCAAGGCACTGGAGACAATGCCGTCCAGGGCGGAGGTGTATGCCAAAATGTTGGGCCTGTTGAACGGTCCGGCGTCGAGCTTGGTCGGAACGATACAGGCTCCGGCGAGGGAATTGTTGATGGTTTTGAAGGCTTACGTGCAGAAATTGGAGGAGCAGGGCGGCGGCGGCGGGCAGTAATGTACATAGAAGAAGAGCTTCAATTTTAAGCTGTAAGTTTATATGAAAACCCCTTCAATTAGCTGACTGCAGCCGAATGTATGGTTGATTTTCTGGTTTTTTTTTTGTCTTTTAGTGTTATCAATTTCAAGTAATTATGAGGAGAAATAGAAACTCTTATGAGAACGGGCATTGTAGAATTGGTGTAAAGTTTAAATTCTTTCAAGTAATTGATATTCAAGCATAATGACCAATCTATTAGGCTCTTCCATTGGTGTTTGCTTACAGGTTTTCAACATTAGAAACAGATTTTAAGATTTAGATGTTTGGTTTTATTAGATAGCTCTTGATGTTTCATTGTAAAGCTATATGTTCCAACTTGCTGTTCAAATCTGCTTGAATTTATTTACCTGATAATGGTGCTAGGCTTCATTTGGCTGTGATGGGTTACTGTGTCTCAGTAAGATTGCGTCTGAAATGGCTTTCAGAGTAGTGCTTCTAAGTGAAACATTTTCTATAAACTCTTTAAAGGGTTTCTTTAAGGAGATTTCAGTCACGTTTGGTAATTTTTCCGTTTCTTGTTTCTCGTTTCCAATTTTCTTAAGAAATCTAAGCATTTTGCAACTAGATATTTCTTGTTTCACCTATTTTAGGAACTTTCTTAAAATTGTATAAAAWTTTTTGAAAATTACCCAAACATGTTTCTTATTTCGTGTCTCATTCCCAATTTGTTCCAAAACATAAATAAAATGATTATTTTATCATATTTGAATTCATAGATGTTGGACCATACAATTCATTTTTCTTTATTAAAAATGAAGAAACAGAAACAAGAATAGGAATATTGCCAGACAGACCCTGAAGTTCACTTGAAACCAAATATCTTGAAATTCATGCAATTTTAAAAAGGGGGAAGCGCACTCTTCATCATCCTAAAAGTCATGCCAAATTAAGTTTAATCCTGATGATTCTGATCAATCTGTTAATGATCAGACACCAAACGAGTCGAGATCTTTAGCGAACTATTTGGAAGAATTACTGCAATTCTCATTCAGAACCTGTAGACTTTGGTTCAATGYGTCCTTTTGGTGACCATATTATAGAAACTTGACCAGGCAGGCACGTGGGATGTAAGTTTCAACCTTAAAAGATGTTCTAGTGGATACATCCTAACTTTCAACTGCCTTTTGCTTGTTCGATCTTTTTTTTTCTGTGGCCTTGTTTGATAATGTTCGAATATTCAGTGTCGATAGCATTCATGCTAGAGTGTATAGTTCTCTTTTGGAAACTACAGTCTTTTTTTGATTTCACAGGATTGGAAGAATGCGATTGTATAGTTCTCTTTGGGGAGGGTTCTCTCTACCCTCTGCCTTTAGGTTGTTCTCGCTTTTTTGGGCTCTTTTGATTTGAATGCTTTCTCTTTATTTCTTATAAAAAAAAAAATAGCATTCATGCTAGAGTGAAGTTTTTATAGGAATTCTAGTATATGTTTGTTGCTGTTTAGGTTGACATTAGGGGTCTTTTGAGTGCTGTTCTGAGAGATAGTTTTCCTGTTCTTTGGTTACTTGCAAAGGTTTAGATGGTCATGGAAATTACATTTCAATGGTTTTAATGACAGTCAACAGACGATGGGTAAAAATAAATTAAAGAAAAAGTTATTATTATGATTGTTTTTAATATATGTGAGTGTTCATGCCAGTTTATGCATATCTATCTAGACTAATCTCACAAACAACATGCTTGACTTGGTTACATTTTGTTGCCAAGGAAATTAGTAGAATATTAAATCCTAGATAGATAGTCACTRTAGTCTCACCGTCTCCAACCTTGACGCAACATATTTTTGTTGAAAAATAGTTTCTCTTCTAAGCTTTAACCTTGACTTCTTGGCTTTCGTGGCTTGGAAATCACTTGTAAACTTATGTGGATCTCTTTTGCGATAATCTATTTTTCAGGTCTCTGGTTGAGTAAACCAAACTAAAACGGTCAAGGAAGTTTAAAACAATATAATCCATAACACATATAAATGAGGTGCTTATTTGTCAAATTTTAATGGTGCTTATTTGTCAAATTTTAATGGTGATAAGTAAGAAGATACTACCGACTAGTAAGTAGTTAAATATTACTCACAAATGAAGGAATAACACACATTCGGAGACCTATGATCTCCTCTAGTTTTGTTTATTTTTGGGGCAGCAAAAAAGAATAGATCGTGCTGCTTCTTTAGCCAAATTCGGCTACTCGATTCATCCCGTTCATCAAATTTTCTTGCTCATTTTCTTTTCCATTGTTCTCTTTCGTGAGTTTGTAGGGAGGGTTAGATTTCTGTAATCTGAGCTTARAGAAGTCACATCTATATTTGGTATATAAGATTAAATTAAAAAATATAAAAGAAGGAAAAAAAAAAGATGCACCAGTACCAAAGGAAATTACAAAAAGCTTTTCCAATGGGCATAAGAGAAGATAAAACTTAGTCACAAAAAATGAGAGACAATTTACACTATGAATGATATCCTAAACTTGCGAAACTTATATTTTGTATTATATGTTTGATTTTTACTAATTATGGACTCACGAACATAACTTAAGTTTCTAATATTTTGTATTATATGTTTGATTTTTACTAATTATGGACTCACGAACATAACTTAAGTTTCTAATATTTTGTATTATATGTTTGATTTTTACTAATTATGGACTCACGAACATAACTTAAGTTTCTAATTTTTATAATATGTATACTTAAATGACATGTTTCAATTATTTTTTGTACTTCGCTTTTTATAATATAACATTATAAGTTTAGAGGGAAAGATTGGAACTTTCGACCAATAAATGAGTTAATAATATCTTAATTAGCTGAGTAAGCAATTTTTTTCTTTTAATMTATCAAGCCAGCCGAGAGTTCTATTTTTTAATCAAGCAACCATTTTCACAATTTGAACTTTATAATAATGCTTTCGAAGCCTATGAGATTATCGTTTGTTAATAAAATATTTAAAATATCAATATTGATTATTATACTTTATAAAAATATAGAAGAGCTCAAATGTTTTAATGGTTGGTCTTATTTTTATTAAGTTTTTATATTTTAATCAATACCAACTCTCTTCCTTAGCTAGTATTAATTGTTTAAAAACCATGCAATATGATATAAGATATTTTTATTAAGAAATAGTCAAATTGCAAAAATGTCAAAATTTTCAAATGAAATTAAATTTTTGTTCCTATAATTTACCCATATTTACCATTTAGTACCTGAGCTAAAAAATATTAATTTGAATCCCTCAAATTTTAATAGGTTCTAAATTTAATATTGCCACTAAAATATGAGTTAAGAATGAAAAAAATGACATAGCTTATTTTATTTTTATTACCATCTGAAATAATTCATAACATGAAGATGAACATGGGAACATTGTACATCACTCTTGTAAAAATTGGGCGAAAAAAAAAAGTATAGCTTGTTCAATAAAAATAAATTGAAAGGTTAAAATAAATTACTACTCGCTTTTTACCCACMTAACGCACCAATTTCTTCTATTTTGTGTAGAACTCTATACATTATTGTACAATCAAGTTCAACTAGTTTAGACACTTATCTCCGATCAAAAAATCGTGAGTTTGAATATCCACATCTACTTGTGGTACTAAAAAAATACTCCAATCAAAGAGAGAAATGTAAATTCATTTTGTCATTCAATTTGATAACAAYGTGTTGTAGGAACCAAGTTGAAACTTTTATTATTATATGGATCAATGTGAAACTATACCCGTACTTATTTGAACAACATCAAAGAAGAAGACGAMGAACTGTATCACTCAAAGAAATTTAGTTTCGGTCTCTGCAAACACCTGCCCACAAAGAAATTTGCACACAAAGAAATTGGGTTATAAAAGTGTACCTTGCACCTCATGTCTCTCCTCTTATTTATAGGAAGAGTCTTATTAGGTTGATTTAAGTGGATCGGCTAAATCGAGTCTAGCCAACTCTAGTCTAGTTTGATCGGGTGTTCCAACCAAGACAATTTGATTGGAGTGACTCGACCCATGTCATTTTTCTAATTTCAATCGATGAAAATTTGATGATGTAATTCCATCCGTAACAACTATCAATTAAAATGACGTCCGAAACATAGATATACTAAAACAAAACTCTTTGAACTTCAAGGACCACACTAAAAATAAAGTAGACTTGAGGGATTAAAACTAAAATTTAACAAAAGAAGTAATTACATAGAACATGTGAAAATTGAGATTTTGTGGATCTTTTTTTTGTTGAAAAAGAAAGGTTTCACTTTCAGGTGGGAGAGAGAGAGACTTACAAGGAAATAGAGAATTTGGAGATACAGAAACCGGACCTGCTTCCGTTCGACCTCAGCCCTCTCTTTCTCTGCAACTCCGAATCAAAACCGCCACTTATGGCGGCGCTGAACCGCTTCGCCGGAGYAAGGGCCGCGGCCACCGTCTCTTCCTCCATGTTAAGCTATGTTCTATGGAAGGCCTTTTCTGCTTCCTCTGTAAACTCCGAAGTTGACCTCAAATCTTCGCTGCTGAACCAGAGCTCTCTCCCTCTGCGGCGTGATCATCCCAAGGATAGGAATGTGCAGTGGGTTTTTCTTGGGTGCCCTGGGGTTGGGAAAGGAACCTATGCGTCTCGGCTCTCCAGTTTTCTCGGTGTTCCTCACATCGCTACTGGAGATCTCGTCCGCGAGGAGCTCTCCTCCTCTGGTCCTCTCGCTTCTCAGGTTTGGTTTTCTCTTGTTGTGAATTGAGAATTGTTCTGCTCAATCTGATCTGATTTGTTCGGTTTTAAGAGGCGTGTCTGATTTTTGGTTGTTAGTGTTCTGTTTTAAAGAGGGGATATGCATTCAGGTTCTTTGAGTAATGGGAAAATAGAGCTCGTAGTGACTCAGAGATTGAATTGACTAAGATTCATGAGATGGAAACCATATTTTCCTCAGGGAAATGATACAGTTAAAATTGTGATCATGATATAGCTGTTGTATTGAGCATTTTATTTTGTTGTCTGGGCTGTGGAAACCAGATGAGTTTTGAACTTCTGTTCCTGAAAGAAGACAGAAATTTGTGAGGGTTACTCAGAATCATGCCTCTTCTTCTTCTTTTGGGTACCGTCCAATTTCCATTTTGAAGCAGTGAAGCATGCCAACTTAACTTTTCCTAGCGGTCACTTACAGGAATTGGACTGAAGTGATCTTTTGGCATTTCTCGTGATGTCATGATACATTCTATGCATGTAAGAATTTTGTCGCCTACCATGGCTTCTGTTTATACATGCGTGACTCTGGATTTGCATTTTACAGTTTCATTTTTGTAGGATCCTACTATATAATTCATATAGTTTTGGAAAATCCATGTATTAACTATTTGTGATTTGCTTTGAACATTGGAACATGGAAATGAATTTATTAGGGGGGACTCCAATAAGTTTGAAGGAGAAAATGTATTACCTTTACTTCGAAAGTCAGTTGCTCYGATATTGAAGCAAYGTGTTTCTGTTTTCTTTTCTCTGAACCCTTTTGTTCATACCTCAAACTTTTTTTTGCAGCTTACAGAGATTGTTAGTCAAGGAAAATTGGTTTCAGATGAAATTATAATTAATTTATTATCCAAACGTCTTCAAGCTAGTAAAGCTAAGGGTGAATCGGGCTTTATTCTTGATGGTTTCCCTCGAACTATCAGACAAGCGGTGAGATCTTTGTCATATAAATATTTTTTCTTTGCTTCTTAACATCATTATACCTGTTATATGATTCTCTATTACTGAAAATCTTTGTGAAATATTTAGCACCTTGACAAGAAAAGTTTTGTTCCCTTAGTGATATGCAAAGGATGAGAGTTTTGTGCTGTTCTCTTTGTAAATGAGTTACTATGGTTAAGGACTTTTACAGTGGCAACGTGCAAAAAAGAAAAATAACTTCTATTACAATGACCTACAAAATATGGAAACAAATATTGTTTTAGTCTTTAGAGAGACACATAAATCTTTGGCCTCCCCCTAATAAAATTCATTTCTTATTCTGATGACAAAATTTGGTTTACTTTCGAACACTTTTTTTTTCTCCTTCTATTTTTTTTTTGTAAAAGTCATCTGGACGGCCCTTATTTGCAGTTAATATTTATTAGGCTGTTTCTTATTCAGGAAATATTGGAGGGGGTCACTGATATTGATTTAGTGATTAATCTAAAGCTTCGAGAAGAAGCACTGCTCGCAAAATGCCTTGGTAGGAGAATATGCAGCGAGTGCGGAGGAAATTATAACATTTCTTGTATTGACATCAAGGACAAGGAAGGCAGGCCTGAATTGTACATGGCTCCCCTTCTTCCTCCTCCCAACTGTGCATCTAAACTTATCACACGGTCGGATGATACTGAAGAAGTTGTTAAGGAACGACTCCGAATTTACAAAGAAATGGTATGAGTCCTCTAGAAAAGTTCCTTTACCAATAATATTTGCATTAATAGAATTACCAAATTAACTTTCAGAAA